TCTGCTGGGCAGCTTTCCAGCCACTCTTCCCCAAGCCTGTAGCGCTGCATGGGGTTGTTGTGGCCAAAGTGCAGGACCCGGCACTTGGCCTTGTTGAACCTCATACAGTTGGCCTCGGCCCATCGATCCAGCCTGTCCAGGTCCCTCTGCAGAGCCTTCCTACCCTCGAGCAGATCAACACTCCCGCCCAACTTGGTGTCGTCTGCAAATGATGGATAAACCTCAAGGGGGGCAAAAAAACCCCCCCAACATTATTTGCCTTTTTGATTGAGAAACCATGCATGAATGTGTTTCCAATGATCTTGGCTAATTTACAGTGGAAACTCAGCTGCATTAGATAAAGTATTGCCAGTAGGTGGAGAGAGGTGGTGGTGGGGATTAGCTTGTATTTAGGCAACAAGGCAGATTTTGGAAGTTTCGTTCTGCCTAAATGCTTACAAATTCCTCTTTCCTCATAGCTGCAGTGATTTAAAGCTACCTGTTAAATTAGGGCAAGCTTATTTCACTACTCTTAAATCAAACTTCAAGAGAACCTAACCGAACAAAGGAAGCAAACTTTTCAGTGTCTTAAAAGCGTGCCCAGGTGCAACCCAAAGAAACCGAGTACATCCATAGTTTCTTCCACATCCATACACATGATGCTTCCCCATTCATTTTTAAACCACAGAAAATAGGACATTAAAGATGAGCAAGAGTTCCATTTTAAAGTCTTGTTTAGACAACATCTCTGACTTTAATTTAGTTCAGTAACTGTGATTTAATTTAAAACAGTTCAGTCAGTTTGGGGCTGGACTATACTACACCACAGTGCCTACGACATGGCAGTTTCAGCCCTCTTCTCAGAGGCAGGACCAAACTGGTCTAGAGTTCAACTGCACTGCAGCTGTGCTTGGCCATGTCTCTAGTACAGACTGCCATATTGGGGAGTGGAGAAGAGTGGCACAAGACAGATGTATTATAATCTGCTTTGATCAGAACGATCCAAACCAGCCCCCACCTAAGTCACCAGTGAGACAAACATAATTAATTGAGAACTGAATTTAACACCCTGTCTCTGCAGGGCTGTAGCACAACTTCATAAGCTTGTTGCAGCAGAACGGTCACATCTTCACACCCAGAATTGTGGTATGTTTGACACTTGTGTTATCACATACGATTCCTGCCCAGTCCAAAGTGCAAACTAGCATTTAACCTCCCTCTTTCCCCACCAATTATTAAATATAAGTTGTTGTTCTTTTCAGAAAGACCAAAGGAATAAAGGCTATTGGCAATGTATTATCTACGAAAATAGTTAGTCTTATAATTAGCAGGGAATACAAAAGACTTTCTTTTTCCTTTCATTTGACTAATCTGTGCCCAGTACCACAGACAGGAAGGTACAAACTGTATCTGTTTAAGTGTAAAAAATATATACAACTATATTTAACATTTAAATTACTTTAAACACAACTGTTTGCATACTAACAATCTTATGTACATTCAGTTTTAAACAATACCTCTTTAATATCCTCTTCTTTTGTTAAACAAGTTTTATTTTCCTCCCAAAATACCCAATGCTACTTTAAAATTCTGGAGGGGAAAAAATTTGAGCTATATAGAAAATAGCAAGATGTTTTACAATTGTAATGTATCATAGCATATATCTTTCATAAAAACAACGCATCATTCAAAAAGTGAACCACTGTAAAAGTTCTCTTAAGTCCAACAGGACTGTCTTTAAAAGCTTACTTTGGTTAACAGCAAATCATTCTTAAACAATTAAGGAAAGAAATATATATTCTTTTACCACCTCTACAGATGCATTTCCTTGTCATGTTGTAGCAATCCATATCTGTTTATGGATGAGCACTGCAGTTGTTCAGCACTCTTTGTTTGTACTGTGATTTCAATAAAATGCATTATATATCAGGTCGGATTGATTTATAATTAAATTAGTCCAACTTCCTAAGATCTCCGAATAAGAGAACTCTCTTCCTAAGATCTCTGGATATCAGAGAAAGAACGGCAACACTACTACTTCTTCCTTACAAGGTTGATCTCATGCAGTACATGCAACAGCATCACTAAGTTGCCCGAAACTTCTGTTTCCCTGCTTATCTTTCCTGGTCAGGAGAGTAACACAACTTTTTCTGAGCTCTACATACTCTGACACCCAGCCAGTCACACCAGACTCTGAGCATTCAGACAACTGAAGTGCCACTGGACTTTACGGTAATGCAATGGTTTCCTCCGAGTCATTATGCATATTTCAGGTCACGTGTGGCCTCTATATCACTGAAATTTTACTCATTTGCAGGGGAATAAATGCCTTCAGCTTTTGGCCAGGAAGAGGAACTTGATCTTTATCTTTCTTCCCTCTTTGCACTATGAAACCCTCTGATTCATCAAAAATCACAAACAAAAAGGCAAAAATGTTAAGATTCTTCAGGCAAAGAACACTGCATTAGTCACTATGCATCAGTTAAGCTGAAAAGTAGAGAAGTCTGACCGATGAGCAAAGGCACTTGGTAACAGTCCTGTGAACAATAGTCAATGAGTCAACAATTTCAGTCTCGTGATCCAACTGACCAGCAGCGAGGGCTCTACAGAGGAAGATTTTGAGGATGACGTAACAGAGGATTTTTTAGCACCTTCCTCTTGAAAAGGAATTGTTGCACTGTTGTGGAGGTCTGTATTCATAAAACACCTGCTGCCTCGAATATAATCCGTTCCCCTCACTAACTGCTTGTCAGACACTGGCCTTGAGAGGGGGTGTTGTGTAGAGGGGCTTTCTTCAATGATTGGGGGTATCCTTTCATTACTGAAGTACCTGCAGAGGACATCTTCACCTGTACAAACAGGAGGAGGAAAACCAGTTATTGCTGACTTCAGAACTCCCCATTAACATTTTCTATTTTTATATAATCCGTTCCCCTCACTAACTGCTTGTCAGACACTGGCCTTGAGAGGGGGTGTTGTGTAGAGGGGCTTTCTTCAATGATTGGGGGTATCCTTTCATTACTGAAGTACCTGCAGAGGACATCTTCACCTGTACAAACAGGAGGAGGAAAACCAGTTATTGCTGACTTCAGAACTCCCCATTAACATTTTCTATTTTTATAAAAAGATTCCTGTTACATTTCAAGTTACCTAGATTTTGGTTACCTTTCATAACACACCTGGACATAAGCAGCTGTCAATAGATTTATGGCTTTTTGCATCTTTAATTTTTTTTAAAAAACACGAAAAACAACAAAATAAATTCACACACAGAGAGGATACCATTTCACTGTTGAATTCCAGATTCACACACACACATACCCCAAAACTGCTAGTACAGACTACCTTCATGCAAATCACTATCATGAGCAAGACCTAACAAACCTTCTCGTAACGTCTCATTTAAGATGCCAATAGACCAGAGCTGAATCCATTTTTGTCTGAATGTAGCTCATGACTAACTTAAAAGCTATAAATATTACTCTGGACAACAGAAATTCATTTTGCAGATAAAGATATAAGCAAGTTCCCTAGATTTTGGTTACCTTTCATAACACACCTGGACATAAGCAGCTGTCAATAGATTTATGGCTTTTTGCATCTTTAATTTTTTTTAAAAAACACGAAAAACAACAAAATAAATTCACACACAGAGAGGATACCATTTCACTGTTGAATTCCAGATTCACACACACACATACCCCAAAACTGCTAGTACAGACTACCTTCATGCAAATCACTATCATGAGCAAGACCTAACAAACCTTCTCGTAACGTCTCATTTAAGATGTCAATAGACCAGAGCTGAATCCATTTTTGTCTGAATGTAGCTCATGACTAACTTAAAAGCTATAAATATTACTCTGGACAACAGAAATTCATTTTGCAGATAAAGATATAAGCACTTCCCTGGTTTTGAGCATTGATTTGTCATGCTTTCTCTGTTTTTACTCTTCCCGAGACACCTGACTATGCTGCTGCCTATTGAGCTAGGCAGACCTTTGTTCTGACCCAATACAGCTTACACAAAAGCCTGCAGCACTTAAGTACATTTCAAGTGCTAAAAAAAGCCAACACAAAACCAAAAGCAAAACCAAACAAAAAACCATACACACAAAAAACAGCCCTGCCACCTGGTGATCGTTCTGTTAGACTTGTTACTTAGCTTGTTTCTAATATCCCTCCAGGTTGATGCTTCTTGTTACCAGCTTCTATTTTTGCATTAAAATAATAGAATTGAGCTTCTATTTTTCTTAGAATTATACATTAGCTTTCATAACTGATTTAAAGAATGAACTAGTCATCCTTTCTTATTTCCTACTCTAACAGGACTCATAGCCTTTCAGGTGCAAGGAGTGGGGAGGGATAGAAGGGCAGTAGGGGAAGGAAAAAAGCTACCCCAACCTAACACCCACCGTTATGAGCTTCTGTCTCTCTCTCATTCTGTGACATCTGCAGAATATGTTGTTTTCTAACAGCAGTTGCCGCAAAAAGCAACTCCTAAAAGGCCCTACATTTTACTTCTGAGAACAAGCTTGCTTCTACAACAGCCTCCACAGTGAGCTAAACAAACAGAAAGACCTATCAAAAAAGCAGTTTTATAATCAATACTAAATGCAGAAGAAAGGGAAAGGGGTGTGTATAAGAGCAAAGTGGGAAACCTATGCTATAGAGACAAGTATAGATCTGCCCTAGTCATTCTAGCCTACTTTTAACACTCACAAGAATTCTAAGACGGGACAACAAAAGTTTGAGCCCCAGCACTGAATAGCCTCACAAATTTCACAACTACCATCTGGCATTCCTGCTAAAACCAACAGTTGTCATCTTGGATCAGTTCAGCCATATGCAAACACTAATCTCTCCATTCCTAATTTAAACACTTCCATCCAGTTCACCCCAAAGAAATTTTGGAGAGGAAAGAAAGAGAAAGAGGGACAAGACCTAAAACCTTGCCTTTTCTCCCTGGTGCTCGTGGCCTAGAGAAGGGTTCTGCAGCTGCTATCCAGCTCCCATCAGCAGGCATTGACAAAGGACGAGGTTTTCCTAAAGGCAACATAGAAGGTTATGAGGAATTACATTAAGTTTAGGAAACCAATTTTTACGTTGATACTTTTCACTATTAAGCAAAGGGAGAGATACAGCAATAAGGAGTTAAAATTGCAGAAAAGAATACTTCAAGATACTTCCACTAGTGAAATATAAGAAAGCAATGTGCTGAGATTGAACAGCCACACTCTTGCTCGTTTACAGCAGCAGTGGACATAATGACCAAAAGTTATAACCAAAACACACATGGAAATGGCCAACTGTAGCAGCAGAGCCCAGCTGAATGACATTCATTAAAGAAATAACAGCATTTAAGTGAAATTATTTCAGATGTGGAATTTCATTCACATTCACAATTTACACAGACTGCCCTTAATATCCATCAAGCCTAACAAGCAGTTTTCTAACACAAGTTATCCCAAACTGACCAAAGCGTTTATCATAACAGCAATAATGAAAGAGGAATGAACTCACCATAGGACTGTGTTTTTTCCCTCATCTTGGCTGGTAGGATATTTGCATCCATGGGATACCCAGGCAACTGATCCGAATCAGCAATAGTAAACCTTCGCCTTCGACTCTCCTGATCCAGAAAAGAATTGGGAGACTCAGCGCCCTTGGACCCAGGTAGTGGCTGACTGGGTTTGTTGCCTCCTCCATATACAAAACTCCCCTTTCCATCTCTGAAAGGACATTTCACTTCAGTTAGTAGCTTAAAAGAGTTTCACGCTACAGACATGAGTAGGTCTGAAAGATACTTCTAGCACCCAACCATGCTCCTGACAACAGGCATTGTGCTGCAAACAAGCTGGAAAAAAAAAAACAAGTCAGATGATAAAAGACTTTATTATAAACATATTTGCCAAGGAGAAAAGAAAGCTACCCCCCTCATGCTAATTCACTTTTAATGAGCCAGTAATTTAACACACAGAAGTTTAGTGGTACAACCCCTGAAAAAGCTTTTGAGAAATGAGACCTTTCTGCCCTGAGGGTATCAAAGCTCCCAATTCACTGCCTGTTCAGTACACAGCTGTGACAGAGGAGTGCATACATAGATTTATCCATCTCTGTGTAATGGCAACACCTATCACCTCCATCTGAGGAATTATGCTTTTCAGTCATTGTAAGAGCCCAATAACTGCCACTGAAAATTCATTACCTTCTCTCTCCATCCAAAAGGGAGACCCCCTTGAGAGTTTCAGTAATAAATTCATAGTGTATATACATATGATTTTGAGCAATTTCTGCAGGAACTCCCTTCCCAGAGCAATCCCTCATTCCAAAGGCCAGGATCAGCCATTTTTAGAACCAGTCCTTGTGAGTACTTTTGGAAGAAGTATTTTTTGCCCGGGTGGAGGACCTCCTGCAGCAGGTGGCTGAGCTGCAGGAGGCGGTGAGAAGACTGCATAACATCAGGGAGATAGAGAAGGAGCTAGATAGCTGGTTCCAAGCAGTCTGCAGCAGACCCGCAGCCCACGACCAAACAGCCAAAAACTCCCCCACTGGCACATGCAGAAGGGAGCGGGGGGGCCAATAATGCAGAAGAATGGACGGTTGCAAAGGCAAGGACCAGCAGGAGAAAGAGACTTCCCCCGAAGCCTGAGGCACCATTGCAGAACTGCTTCACCACTCTGCAGACTGAAGAGAAAAGTCCTGTCACACCAGGAGAAAGGAGAAACATAACCCCCATTTTTAAAAAGGGAAAAAAGGAAGACCCAGGGAACTACAGGCCAGTCAGTCTCACCTCTGTGCCTGGGAATATCATGGAACAGATCCTCCTGGAAACT